AAATACTGGTACGATCCATACCGAGTTCATAAAGCAGTTTTGTGGATAGAGTTGTCCGCCATCCGTATCTGCCAGTATCCGGACCGCAGATCCAGTTTGGAAAATACCGTAGCTCCCCGAAGCTGGTCAAGCAGGTCATCAATTCGCGGTATTGGATATTTATTCTTGATGGTCTGCGTGTTAAGAGCTCGGTAGTCGATGCACATGCGCAGGCTTCCTTCCGATTTCGGTGTGAAGAGTACTGGGGCACCGTATGGCGAAGTGGATGGTCGGATGAGTCCTTTGGCTAGGAGATACTCGATTTGTTTTTTCATGTCAGCCAGCTCCATAGGGCTGAGCCGATATGGTGCTCGGAAGGTCGGCTTCGAACCCGGTTCCTCCACGATCTCGTGTTGATGCGTTCGGTATGGCGGTAGCTCGTTCGGAAGATCGTCAGGAAGAACATCTTGGAACTCCTTCAATAATTCCTTGATCTTCCCTGGAGGTTCCGAGGTTTTTTCCCTATCGTTCTCCGCCTCTGTTGCTATCGCCAGGAACCCGGTGTCGGTTCGCTTCACGTCCTTCTCGAATCGTGCGAGTGTCTCCACTGGGATATCTCCTCTATCGTCCCAGTTGGGTAGCTGTACTCTCCGTCCACTGTTGTAGATACTTGCGGTGCGATTCACCTAGTTGATCTCGGGGTTGAATCTTTTTAGGAAGTCTCGCCCAAGATCAAGTCAAGCCCTTTGATGTTGGTGATGGGGAGTGCAGGTCTCCAGCGCAGTGGTCCGATTTGTAGGTGTAACACTGCTTCGCCATGCACTGGTAACTTGCTTCCGTCCACCATCGTTGCAGAGAACCCTGAAGGCTTGTACTCTTCCCGAAGTCGGTCGATTACTGCCTTGTTGCAGACGGTGTGTGATGCTCCACTGTCCACGAGTGCTTGGAGGCGTCGTCCTTTGTAGATGACCTCGAGCACGAGGGGCAGGCGTTGCTCGGAGTACCCAAAGATAGTTTCATTGATTGGATCATAGGGTACATCCCAATATTCCGTACACACCTTTGTGTTGCTATCTACTCCTGAGCTGGCAGCTGGCCGAGGCTGCTTGGAGAACGGCTCTTCTCCAGGGCCCGGAGTTTCCTTGACGACTGTGCGCGTCGTTGATGCCGAAGAACTGGATGCATCCGGAGGAGGAGTTCGGGGTTTGTGCAGCTTCTTATAGACCCCCAGCTTCCTCTTGAGCTGCTTCAGCTCCACCGACGTCTTCCCTGGGGAACGGGTAGTCGTTGTGGGCTGGTGTCGGGAGAGGACGTTGACTCCGTGGAAAGGTCGGCTTCTTTCGACACTCTTTAATTTTTTCCCCAAGTTGTCCGGTACCGATATAATCTCCACAGCTGTCTGCTTCTTTTGGAGTCCTTCCCGAATTTTCTCCAAGGCTCTAGCCCCTCGAAAATCATAAGTTTTCATTAAAGCATCTTTATAAGATAACTTTAACGAATTCTTATAATTTCGTGGGTCTTCAAGGAGTTTCCCCGTCTTGGCAGAGTCTTTTTTCGCGGAGTCGTATTTTTCCTCGGCGTTTTTCCCTGCGAAGACTGGTCGTGGGGTGGAGATTTTCCCCCATCATTTTCTCCTTTTCGCGTCGAATCAACTTCGTCGAAGTTGATTTTCCCGGAATCCCGCGGCCGCTTCCGAATCTTTTTATTTTCGCCAGCTAGATCCGCGATCACTGGCGACTCCCATTTTTTGGCTTCTGATTGGCCGAAGGAATTCCGCCACTGTTGCGTGCCCGATACTTTGCGTGTGCGGCTTTCATTTTGTTGCACTCGAAGATTCGATGACCCGGCACCCCGCAAAAATCACACGTGTAATTGGTGTTTTTCGGACGTGGCCGCCCCTCGAACCTGTCGACTTCCATCGGGTCGGCGAACGTGGGGTGAGCCGAGCGGTCGCCCTGTCGCGTACTGCCGACGTGCGTCCGTCGTGTTCCGGCGTTGACCATGTCAAAGCGCTCCGCTGCCGAAACGACGTCACTGTAGTTCGCGTAGTTCGCCGCGGGTCGTACACGTTGTCCGTCCCAGACTGGCGAGCTCCATCCGGCGGCTGCGAAGTAGATCTCCATCCCGGCGATCCATCTGTGGGCGTCGGAGTTTCGATCGCTCGGATCGAACGGCTCAGGTGGGCGCGGTTTCGGAGCCTCGAGAAACTGATGCGACTGCTGCGTCGTCGCCGTTGTCGTTTCGTGCTGCGCTCCGGCGAGTCGAGTTACTCGCTCGAACTCGTTTCGCCACGCTTCGCGATCCGCTCGCATTTCCTCCTAAAGGGCTGCGATGCGCGCGAAGAGCTGCTGGGTAACCTCTGCGTTGTCGAAGGTTGCCATCCTGTTCAAAACACGCACGGAGGGGGTGATTCGAAAATCGCGGAGCTGGTGCTTACCAGAATCGGCGTCGAATTGGTCGCCCCCGGCGGTTTTTCGAGGCAGGTTTTCCCGCTGCTGCTGCTTTGTTGAGCGCGGCCGAGTGGGAAAAAGCTCTGATTACCAAGTGTCACAGGATCAAATGACTCGAGGAAAGATTGCACTATCGATCAGTACAAGGTGCTTTTATACTTCCAAAATACATCAGGTAACCAGGTTTATCCTATCCAGAGGGAATAGACCCTTCTAGAATATAGAATCACCCTGCGTATAGCCACGCAAGGCTATTGGCTTTAAGGGATTACGGCAGGATTACGCTAGATAGAGCGCACCAGTACATCCCAAGCCTGGTCGGTGATATAATAAGAATAGCAGGATAAACCAAAGGTTAAGGGAAAAATGAATAATAGGAAGCCAAATGAGATGAGATGAAAAGAGAAATGAAATAGGAAGGAAATAAGAAAAGGCCAAGTGGTGTAACGGGGTCGTACTCTCACAGACGACCTAGTCTTCGCTACCACAAAAAGAGACGCACTGGCCTCCGTGAAGGATGTGCTGTAGAGGAGATACACCTGCACTGACCTAGGAGGGTTGCGCCGCTATCTTGGCCTGCAGATCTCCAGGGACATAGCAGCGCGCACCATCACTCATACACAGTCACACTTGACGCGCAAGGTTCTTCAGAGGTTTGGTCTTTAGTTCTCCTCCGCACAGCCCACACATGTACCAGTAGATCACAGGCTCTCGGCTCCAGTCCCTAACGAGTCGGTAGAGCCTAGTGGTCCGTACGGAGAGCTGGTGGGTTGCCTGATGTACTTGATGACTTGCACTCGTCCTAATCTCACATACCCTCTTAGCATCTTGGCTCGCTTTGTGGCAACAGGCATACACCGACCACAACAATGGTCAGCCGCTATGAGGGTTTTCCGTTATATAGGAAGTACATTATGCATGGGGCTAGTGGTAGGAGGTTGAAGCCAGTGCACACAGACGCTTCATTGGCGAATAACATTGAGACGCTCAGGTCCTCTCAGGGCTATTGCTTCAGCCTTGGTGCACGCGCCATCTCATGGAGGTCCACCCGCTCGTCGTCTGTTGCACAGTCTAGTTGTGAGGCTGAGATCTACGCTGGTGCCATGGCGGTAGAGGAGCTCCGCTGGTTGATTTTTTTTCTGACAGACATAGGTGAGCGGCCTAGCTTTGCCCCGGCCGTGTACGCTGACAACATGGCCATGATCCTCCTGTCTTAAGAGCCTCGACTTAAGGGTAGAGCGAAGCACATCCAGCTGCGGTACTTCCTACTGCGCGTGCTACAACAGCGCCGCCAGGCCCGCGTAGGACACTTGGCCTCTGGTGCCAGCACAGCTGATATCTTTACTAAGACGCTTACGCCTAAAGATCATCAGCGAGACTATGTACAACTTGGTCTAGTTCTTGTAGCTTCTCAATTTCTAGGAACCTGATTGTGTACTTCTTCATATATTATCTTGAATTGCCTTGTGGCTCTTGTTCTAGTGGCTAAACTAGTAGTGCCGCCCTGGGCTACTCTTGTTTAGGTTGTACTCCAGCTGACTGGTCTTCGGACCCCTGTGTCAGAGGTTGGACTAGTTGTGCTACCATGAGCTGCGTGTCTCTAGCCAGGCACTACCCCTCATCCAGCCTAGGGGGTGTGTCAAACGTATATGTATATGTTATTGTAGGCTAGATATGTGCGTACTCTTAGAGAGTACAACCACTTAGCACAAAACCACACTGTATCTCACATTCTAACCTATTTGTTACTCTGAGAGATACACGCTGGGGTTGCCCTTGGTTCTCGAGGAATGGTTACAGGTGCAGAGCCTGGGAGGTTATAGGCGCACTTACGCGCTACTTAACAAGTCCTTTTAACTCAGTGGTTAGTGACTGAGTTGTGATAGAATTTTGCACGTCTGATAAGGAGGGGTGTGATAAGAGGCCTGTAGGAACACGCTCTTATTGTGCTTCTATATGTGACGGATCTCATGTTGGTGTTGGAGGACAGTTGGGGCCCAACAATGCATGATCCAAGTACGGTGTGGCAGGTGAGAGTATTTCGGCATGAAATAACCCCACTTGATAGAATGGGATAGCTTAGAAATGATTCACAACACTTGATGTGCAATGGCGATGAGCCTCCTGATGAGGTGAATTCAGACAATGGTTTTCTCCATTCACATCTCCAATTCTCGTGGCGTTGGATGGTGGTAGCTTATTTTGACTGGTTGGTAAAACAAGTGGGTGCTTCTTGCAATCGTTTTGATAAGACGATTTTCCACCGAAGCGGTGTTGAGAAATCTGATATATCCGTTAATGTGCCGAGTCAGCCCCCGTTTTCGTGACTATCGCTGTGGCTGGCGAACCCGCGCATATCTCGAAACAACTGACCTGCGCAACTTTCCTGGCTGGGGATTGTCGGGGCGAACCCCAGCGAGGCCTCGCATTGGTCGAGCTGGCACATTATCTGCTCGCCGATTTCTCCCATTCGACACTCACCCTAGCGATGGATCTCCTGGGCTGCCCCCGTGTGACCTTTCGCCGCGACGCGCCAGGCCCTCCCTGATCCTCAGAGCTCCTGAATTACCTCTCCTTGCAACCTCCAGACTTGGAGTCGTTGACGAACCCAACCCAACTTTCAGTGTACCCCAGCTTCCCCTGCTGTACACTGCACCAGTCAGAAGCCATGGCTGCCGTCGTCGCCTCCCACACCGTCGCGGCTGTTGCCAGCTCCGTCGTGAGCAAGTCGGCCTTCTCTGGCCGTCAGGTTCGCTCCGTCAAGGTCGCCGCTGCCCCCCAGAAGGTCGCGTTCACCGTCACCGCTTCCGCTGAGGACAGGCCCCTGTGGTTCCCTGGCAGCACCCCCCCTGCCCACCTCGATGGCACCTATGCCGCTGACTTCGGCTTCGACCCCCTTGGCCTTGGTTAGTCTCTTTAGTTGTTGACCATTAACAATGGCTACTTAATACAGTCATTTGGCAAATTCTCCAGCATTTTGTATTTTATCACGCGTACGCACAGGTCCCTTAAATAACTCCCTGCTTGTATATGTGTTTTAACTCTTCCCATTTTCATGCAGCATCCGACGATGTGAACTGGTACGTCCAGGCCGAGCTCCAGAACGGCCGCTGGGCCATGCTCGGCGCCGCTGGCGTGCTGATCCCGGACATTCTCCGCGTCAACGGCCTCCTCGACATCCCCCGCTGGGACGCGGCTGGCGTCGCTGACTACGGCATTGACTGGCGTGTGCTGCTGGCGGTTGAGATCGCCGCTTTCGGCTGGGCTGAGGGCAACCGCTGGGCTGACATCATCAAGCCTGGATGCGTGAAGTAAGGTTCTATGTTTCGTCAGTGCACTCCTTTCCTCTGCGTGGAGGTATCGTAACCATCGCTGTTAATGTTGCGCGGTTTCCATTTCGTAACGTTTTGCTAATGTTGAACCTCCCTTTTTTTTTTCTGTCCTTTAATATATAATAATTTGCAGCGAAGACCCCATCTTCAAGGGTAACCGCGTGAAGGGCACCGATGTCGGCTACCCCGGCTTCGACCCCCTCGGCATGGGCTTCGGTTCACCCGCGTATGTGAAGGAGATCCGCACCAAGGAGATCAAGAACGGCCGATTGGCTATGCTTGCTAACCTGGGCTTCTGGGTCCAGACCTCGTACACCGATGCCAGCCCCGTCGAGAACCTCTTGAACCACCTCGAGAACCCCGGCTTCAACAACTTCGCACACAACGCCATGGTAAGCTTTCATTTCAATATCAATGCTATCCTATGATAGCACATTAATTTGTTCCTGCATTTAAATTGTTGTTCTTTCTGACACTGACGTATTTCCACCGCTTTCTTGTGTGGTTGCAGTCCGTGTTCTATTGAGCTGGGTTAATGTCTGGTCTCTAGATCTGGATGTAAAGCAGTGTGCATAATATTAAACGAAAATTTCTAAAATTCAATATTTTGCTCAATTATGTCGATGAGTAACTTGCTCCGTGATATCTGGTGCCTACTGCGACCTAAATTCGAGTTTGCGTTCCAGTTAGAATACATTTACCAGCTGACTTAGTATAGACAGGATAGGTAGTGGCAACTGTCCCACGCATCTGGATCAATCGTTTTCACTTTCCTGATGGCTTACTGTGAAATTGCCCAACCCTGAACTCATGTGTTATCTAGGCTGACTGCTGCGCCGACATGCCCAATTATCACTGGGGTAGCAGTACCCTGTGCCTGTGAGGTCTAATGCACTGTCCACTTCCTGCTGCTGTGCACAATTTTGCCACTTGGTTGCACCTTTTTGTGCTGGCCAAAATTCCTGTATGATTGATCAAGAATCTACAACCTGCTGCCCTGAAGCGACCAAAACACTTCATTAGCCACTCTCGTGCCAGTGTCCAGCGCCCCCTGCATGCACGGGTTCACACCGAAGTGTGTCGCCTCCCCAGCAAAGAACAGTCTGCCACCCAGGGGCATCGCCAGCTGGTCCCTCGCATCCCCTGCTCCAACTGTTGGATGCGTGTACGCACCACGGATGAAGGCGTCTCTTGACCAGTCAGCGAAGCAGCCTGAAACGAAGCTTGCGGAAGCTGGGTGGCAGGAGGAGCAGAGGGAGGAAGTTGCAGCAGCGGGACACGAGCTGGTGGTGCTACTGGCTTGCTGTAGTGGCCTTGCCGGCACGACAAAGGTCCCCACGTTATCATCAGAAGCACCATGCGGCAATGCCTGCAGCTGCACTCCATGTCCCTGGCAACCCCAACTCGACCCGCTAGTGGTTGTGCCGCTCGCATGAGCCGGTCGGGCCTGAATTGCCCTGGCTGCACCAGGCCCTGGCTTGCAGGTGGAGCACGGGTGGCGAAACATGGCATCTAGCTGCTCCAGCGCCCGTGAAATCACTGTTTCGGGCGGCAGTCTAGCCATGGCCTCTGCTGCGTCGCCTGCTGCAAACCCTACTGCGAGGAACTGGCCCATTGGGACCGTGGGCGGGGGCACAGCTGCGGTGATGATAGGAGCAGGCGTGGAGGAGTGGGAGAGAGGAGGGGAGGCGGAGGAGGAGGTGGGAATGGGGGGGGAGCGGCGGGTGAACCAGACCTCTGGGAGGAAGGAGTCGGTGCAGACGATGTCGAAGAGATGGGAGGGCCAGACGCGATGGGAGAAGGCCATGATGACCTGGAGGGATAGGGAAGAAGGAGATGGGCAAGGGGTGAAGGGCAGTGAAAGACGAGCACTCTGGTGGCAGGCAGGAAACCCATTCTAACTCCCCTCAACTTCGGCACAACCCTTGAGCAGCGCTCCAATAGCACGGTTACTTGCCTGTGTGCATCACTCCTATCCCCCTCTTTTTACCGACTACTACCCTCACCCTCACCTCTTCATTCCCTCACATTCACCTGCCAATCCCCTCACCTTGACTGCACACCCCATGCGCAGCGCTCCAATGGCCCGCTGCTTGGCCGAGGGGAGAGGTGGGCTGAACTGGATGTCACCCGCTTGCAGCACAGGCTGGTGGGTGCAGTGCGGTGGAGAGGGGGAGAAAGGGAGTGGGTTTGGGTGGGTGGCATGAGGAGCAAAATGGACCAGGGCGTTGTGAGGAAAGGAAAGGACTGTTCGGGTTGGGACAAGCAACAATTGTTCAGTGCAGCAATCGGCAGGCGAACAGGGGACCTACCCACGAAACCACCCGTCAACCCAACCTTGAGATCACTGAACGTCACTCACCAGAGGCACTCACCAGAGGCACAATGATTATGACTCGTTTCGCCTGCAGCTGCTCCCCGTGCCTGCTGGTCAATGTGATGGTCGCAATGGGGAACGAGGCGAGAAGTACAGAAGGCGAGTGCACTACCCCCAAGGACACTCACCAGAGGCACAGTGACAATAACTCGCTTGGCCTGAAGCTGCTCCCCGTGCCTGCTGGTCAATGTGATCGGGGCAGTGGGAGATGCGGTTGCACTGCTGCTGCTGCCGTAAGTTGATGCGCTGCTGACGTCATAAGTTATAGCGGCCACTGGCCAGTGGCACCTCACCTGCATGAGTCATAGGGAGCGAGACAACTTTGGCGGGTGAACGCATGCATGCCAAGGCGAATGGATTCCACACCATGTCACGGCGCTTTGCTTCCACCTGGTTCCGTGCTCACTGCTGCTCACCTCAACACCCCTCGGCAGGTGCTGCTCGACAGTGGAGAATGGCACAGCTGCCCAGTGCTGCACGTCAGGTCGTACACAGTGTAAGAGTCGCCGTAGACCCATCAGCTTCCCGGCACCACCTTGTTTCTTCCGCCTTATTCCACACCCACCTCAAACACCCCTTGCCGTGTGCTGCACGACGGCGGAAAATGGCCGGTTGTACACAATGGACGTCTCACCACAGCACAGACCCAGCTATACCTTGTTTATTCCCACCCCAACGCCCTTCCCACCCGAACGCCCTTCCCACCCGAACGCCCTTCCCACCTGAACGCTCTTTGCCAAGTGGTGCACGACAGCAGAGTAGGGCTGGTCGCACACAATGCAGGCGTCACCATGGACCCACCCACAGCTGCCCTGCACCATAACTCTGCTCCAACCAAATCCGGTTGCCCATCTCATAATTTTCTCACCTGGACGCCCTGCGCCAAGTGGTGCACGACAGTGGAGAAGGGCTGGTCGCACACAACGTAGGTGTCGCCGTAGACCCACCCTCTGGCCTCTTTCACACTCTCATGCATCCCCAGGTGGCGCAGAGAGCACCCAAAGTCGTTGGCGTAGATGGCTGCATGGGAGGAGAGGAAGAGAAGGGACGGGTGAAGGAAGAGAGGGGAAGGCGTGAGAGGGAAAGCGAGGGAATCGAGGGTCGCCACACACCCAAGCCTTGGCCTCTTTCACACTCTCCTGCATGCCCATGTGGCGCAGCGAGCAGCCAAAGTCGCAGGCACAGATGGCTGAACGGGAGGGTGGAACCGAGGGGGTTGGGGCAGGGAAAGTGCTCAGACTCCAGCCTTGGCCTCGTTGCCGCTCTCCTGCATTCCAAGATGGGTCGCCATATACCCAGCAGTTAACCTCCTGCTCTCTGCTCTCCCTCACGCTCTAGTGCACAGCGAGGGGGCGCAGGGAGCAGCCAAAGTCACTGCCGTAGATGGCTGGATGGATGGGACGGAGTGGGTGAGGGGAATGAGAGGGGAGAAGGGACGCCATAGACCCAGCAGTTAACCGCCCTCACACAACCGTGCACGGCGAGGGGGCGGAGGGAGCAGCCGAAGTAATTGGCGTGGATGGCTGGAGACAGGGGAGACAGGAGTGAAGGACGAGGAAAAGGCATGTTCAATGACTAAAAAATGCGTTGCTAGTACGACCTGCCTGTGGACTGACTGACTAGCCCCTCCGACTCCGAAAATTTCTTTCATCAAACCTAGGAACCAACTGCTACAGCGGCAGCGGCGGCGGCAGCAGCTGCACCCACATTCTGCGAGAGCGAGCTGGCGTGGCGTGGCTCCCTCCCGCCTCATCACCTCCACCACGGAGCAGTCGCCCTCTCTCTCCCCACCCACTCCCCCCGCCTCTGCTGTGTGTGTCTTGAGCCCCGCAAAGAAGGCGTGCACCGCTGCGATTTCCGGGTCACTCTCTGCCTCGTCTGGCGTCACCAGCCGCTGCTCCTTGCCGAAATAGTAGTGGTCGGGTGGTTAGAGAAGAGGTGAGAACAACAGTTGTGGTGGTGGGAGGGGATTACGGGGCGATGAGGAGGAGATTGACGAGGGGTCGGGAGGCAGGATGGGGGAGGAAAGGAAGGGCGGATGGTAGTTAAGGAGTGGCTTCTGTATCGTGCCGTGCAAAACTGTAAGCTGGTGACAGGGGCTGCACTGATACCATGTTGCATACAACGCCACTTAGCAACGCGTGGGTTGTATGTGATGTGACGCATGGGAGGAAGCTGGAGTCAAACAGCAGTGGACAACAAGATAAGGCAGAGAGGCAAGAGCGAGCAAGAGCAAGAGCAGGCAGCAAGAGCCTCAGTAACAAGAGCGGGTATGGAAAGGGTGTGCAGCAGCAGCAGGAGTGGGAGAGGGAACGGGCGGATATGGAAGGCGAGGGTGGTCTGTTGGCATCCTAGCTGGTCCACTGCTGCCTTGATGGAGCAGTTGCAATCCCCGTGAATGAACTCCGGACCCATCTGCACCGCACTCAACCACATTGTTGTGAAGCATGCGGGAGGAGGCTTGAGCAAGCTGTTAGATTATCCATTAAAAGCGCCCTTGTTACCATGCATGTATGTAAGCATGCATGTATGTTGCCATGTATGTATGTAACCATGTCTGTATGTTACCATGTATGTATGTAACCATGTCTGTATGTAACCATGTATGTATGTAACCATCACAGCCAACGCCCCCTCAACCATCACCCCACACGAGGCAGCCTTCCCTTTGATAACAACTCTATTCACATGGTTATTTCCCAAAACCCCCAAACACGAAGATTATCGCCTCACACCCCTCTCCTTCCTATCAAACCTCCCCCCCACACCCCTCGCCTCACCGTCTCCCCGCCTTCCCTTTAGCCTCGGTCCCCTCGCCTCACCGTCTCCCCGCCTTCCCTTTAGCCTCGGTCCCCTCGCCTCACCGTCTCCCCGCCTTCCCTTTAGCCTCGGTCCCCTCGCCTCTTTCACTGCTCTCCCCCTCTTGCCCTCAATTGGTCCTTTGTATTCGATAGAGAAAGGGCCCTGGCATGGTAGGCCATCGGCGCATACAGGTGACTCCACCCTCTTACCCTCTTACCCTCTTACCCTCTTACCTTCTTACCATCTTACCCTCGCCACCCTCGCCACCCTCTCTCCCCTCCATGGCCCAAGGCACCAGCCCACCCAGCCGCCTCAATCCCCTCGCCCCCACTCTCCCCAGCCCTCCAATATCCGCTCCCTACCTTCCCCATTCTCCCCCGTTACTTCCCCCTCCCTCTCACCTCCACTGTCCAGGGCACCAGTCCCTGCAGCCCCCGCACTCTCCCCCCGACCATGCCGTGCGCCTCCACCACCACCACGCGCAGCTCCCCCCTCCGCGCCCCGCTGCGCCCATTCTCCGCTCCCCCCGCGCTTAACCCCCCGCTTCCGCGCGCCCACTCTGCCCGCTGCCTGTCCCGCGCCATCAGCTGCTGCGCCGCCTGCAGCCCTGCCAGGCCTGCGCCCACCACCACCACGTCGTACACCTCTCGCGCACGGGGCCCTGCGACGGCTGGCGCCGCTGTGCGACTCCCTGCGGCGGGCTGCGACTGCGACGCCATCGTTGGGCGTTTCGCCTAAGGTCAGTGGCCGTCCAATAGCCTGAAGGGCAGTGGCGGAGTGGCGAGATGAAGGGCCTACCAGGACCGGAGTGCGGAGGCACTAGAACGCGTCTGCGAGAGAAACCTCAGCCCTGGAACAAAGGGCGACAGGCCTCAGGGCTAGAGGCCAAACAACGTACTAAGGGCGATAAGGCAACGAGTGCACTAAGAGCGATAGAACAGCCACCTCAATGTAACGCCCCCGTAATGTTGCACTTAACGCCGTCTTTCGTGAGTCCCATTGCTGGGTTTAGCAGCTAGCGCTTTTGGCGGCGGAGGCTGCGTGGGGTGGAAGTTGTCGGTGAATGGTGAAAGGGACAAACGTGCAAACTCGATACAATGCAGCCCTTGTACAAGGGTTGGAAAATATTGATTCTCCTTGCTATGGACTCAAGCCCAACTATCTCCCAATGTGCCTATCTTTACAAGTCATATTGGTGCCTATCTTTTCCTAGCAGAGATTCACAGTGTTCGGGTCTGATGGAGATTTTTAATGAATTTCACCCCTCAATTACCGTTTAAGGGGCCCATGTCAACAGCATTTGCCTATATAGTGCCATCGTTTGAATAGAAAAATATATTCTTTAAATAAAACAAATCACCATTTAAATTTTAATAAGAATTCTTGAAGTTAGCAGCTTTTGTGGCACTCTATCATACCACGACTGAAGTTCCATCTATTTCGAGAAGCAGAGCCTTTTTGGAGTGTACTTTTGCAAGATATTTCAGTTAATGTGCTGACTCAGCCGCCCGTTTGCGGGACAATCGTTATGCCTCCCAAGACCCCCACAAATCTCTCAACTCGACCCCGAAACTTTCCTGGCTGGGGATTGCCGGGGCGAACCCAAGCGAGGCCTCGCATTGGTCGAGCTGGCACATTATCTGCTCGCCGATTTCTCCCATTCGACACTCACCCTAGCGATGGATCTCCTGGGCTGCCTCCGTGTGACCTTTCGCCGCGACGCGCCAGGCCCTCCCTGATCCTCTCTGCCCCGCGCTGCTGGTCTCCCCCTCCCTCCCCACCCCCTATCTCCTGAATTACTATCCGTGCTCCTTACAGCCAAACTTGGAGTCGTTGACGAACCCAACCCAACTTTCAGTGTACCCCAGCTTCCCCTGCTGTACACTGCATCAGAAGCCATGGCTGCCGTCGTCGCCTCCCACACCGTCGCGGCTGTTGCCAGCTCCGTCGTGAGCAAGTCGGCCTTCACCGGCCGTCAGGTCCGCTCCGTCAAGGTCGCCGCCGCCCCCGTGAAGGCTTCCTTCTCCGTGAGGGCCGAGAAGAGGCCGCTCTGGTTCCCCGGCAGCACCCCCCCTGCCTACCTTGATGGCACCCTCCCCGCTGACTTTGGCTTCGATCCCCTTGGCCTTGCCTCCTCCAACCTCGACTGGTATGTCCAGGCCGAGATCCAGAACGCCCGCTGGGCTCTGCTCGGCGCGGCCGGTGTCATGATCCCCGACGCTCTCCGCGTCGCTGGCATCCTCGACATCCCCCGCTGGGACGCCGCTAACGTCGCCGAGTACTGGATCGATACCCCCACCCTGTGGGCTATCGAGATCGTCCTCGTCGGCTGGGTTGAGGGCAGGAGATGGGCTGACCTCAACAACCCCGGCTCCGTGAAGTGAGTGCCTTTATTTCTTCCCACTTATTTCGCTGCCTGTTCTCAGCATTTCATTTCCTCCTGTTTGAATGTGTTTCTAACGTCTTGCATGTATTTCTGTTTATCAGCGAGGACCCCATCTTCAAGGGCAATGCTGTGAAGGGCACCGATGTCGGTTACCCCGGCTTCGACCCCCTCGGCATGGGATTCGGCGAGCCCGCCAAGGTGAAGGACGTGCGTCTGCGGGAGCTCAAGAACGGCCGATTGGCCATGCTCGCGAACCTCGGCTTCTGGGTCCAGACCGCCTACACCGACAAGAGCCCCATTGAGAACCTGCTGGACCACCTTGCCGACCCCTTCCACAACAATGTCATTCAGGTACCGATCAACTGTCGGTTTCGGTCGTTGTCGTAGAGCTCGTTGCCATTTGCCATTCAACAAGTGCTGTTGGTCTCCGTCCGAACGTGCATTCCTGACGTTGCTTTTCCTCTGTTTCTTGGCTCCTTGCAGTCCATCGCCGCCACCCCCGGCGTCTTCCCCGCTCCCTATTAAATGGGATCGTGAAGATCGGTTCCTCTGTTTTGCCCTGGATGTAAAGCAGTGTTCATATGATTCAAACTAAAAAAAAGATAATATTTTTCCTATGGAGTTAATTAGGCTGTCGCTCCCACACACTGCTGGCCTTTGCGTTAGCATCTCTCTATCGCGGTTAAAGCTATTGGTGCGGAGACCGAATAGCAAATTGAATTGATTATGCCTCATTCCCAGGGTTTTGCGACAGCGTATGGTCCGCGCCCTCGTAACTGCTCCAGCCAATGCTGCGACATGGTCTTTTCTCTTCATTGATCTATTACATGAGGCTTTTGATAGAAGACGGAAGTCAACATTTGGTTCTGTGTACGGTATAGTAACGTGCTCCAACATGTTGGATACATATAAAACTCACGAATTGCACATTTAGGCTAGTGTATTATTCACACAGCGCATGCTGCGCATGGTAGTTTTGTCAAGCAGGATAATTGGCTTAGCAGGACCACCACCAAACTATGCCACAGCAGTCGTCTTGCTGGCAGCAAACATCTCAAGGTACTCCTTCCTGCAAAGTAGGTAGGCAAGCACTCCATCAGACGGAGACAACTTGCCCATCCATCAGACATTTCTGTGCTGTTTGCGAGTCTACTTGGCACAGTCACATACCTGGCAGCCATCTCATCTGCAGGCCGGTTGTAAGGCGTCCACACAGGCTCTCCCACAAAAAGACGGAGCGCCTAAAAAGAAAACAGCAATCCCCAGCCCAGACACAAGGAAATCAAAACGCAATGTATACACATACCATGGTTAGAGTGGCTTTCCTGATAATACTTATACACGAATGGCACAAGAAAGCCTCAAACTGCAGACATGTGCATAGCCATGCGCACCTTGATGTAGTTGGTCGTGTCAAGGGTGAAGCGGTGGTAGATGCCAGCTGGCAGCACGAGGAGGTCGCCCTTCTTTGTCTCGATGCGGATCCAACGGTCCTCAAAGTCCCTCACATCGAAATAGCCTGACGGGGAAACATGGGGGACCGTGGAATGGGAGGGGAGGGGGGAATGAGACAGGATGAGGGAGTTGGGGGAGGGTGGGGGTTTCAGGGATAAAGAGCACAACCACAGGCAAGCATGTTGGTTTAGAGAGAGAGAATTCTTAGGGCATTCATGTGTCTCACCCCACAACACAGGAATGTGCACATGGAGGAGAGAGAATTCTTGGATGCGGATGCAATTTAGAACATAAGTCACAATTACAGACAGCCCCACCTCATTCCGTGGCACGACTCTGAAAGCAAGCACACACATGGATTTAGATCGACAAAGATGCTGCTACACCCAATGGAGCCTGAAACATCTGTTCATCTGCCAAATGACTTCTTCCACTATAACCCGCGGACTCACCGCTGCCGTCCAGAATGTAGCGGATCTCCTCGTCCGTGTGGATGTGCTCCTCGTAGAATGACTTGATCTTTGCCTCGTAGTTGGGCAGCGTGTCGGGGTGGATGTTCACCACCTCCTGCACGCGCAGAGATCGTCACGGGGGGAAGGAAGGGGGGGGGCGAGGGGGGAGGTGGTTACAGCGGGCGAAGAGGACGGCAAGGTGTCCGAGTGGGTGTGCTCCTCGTAGATCGACCGGATCTTCTTCTGCTTGTAGTTGGGCAGAGTGTCGGGGTGAATGCTCACCACCTCCTGCGACATGGGGGGGGAGGGGATGGGGGGATTGGTTACAGCGCGCGAAGAAGAAACTGCTAGTGTCCGGGTGACAGAGTGTCCGGGTTACAGAGTTTCCGGGTTACAGAGTTTCCGGGTTACAGAGTTTCCGGGTTACAGAGTGTCTGGGTTGCAATGTGTATGGGTGAATGCTCACCACCTGCTGCAAGAGAACCCCATCAACGTGGATCAGACGCGGACTGGTGACGGGGGTGATGATGCAATGACGCACTTACTGCGCTTTCTGCGATCCTGCACCAGTGTTACACCAAGAATCGCTGCTTCCAACACATTCCCACACCAAGCTCACCTCGTACGAGTACCTGCTCACCTCGTACGAGTACCTGCTCACCTCGTACGAGTAGCTGCGGTCCTTCCTGATCTGCTTGAGCTCGGGGTCCGTCTCCCAGATGTCCGCGTCCAGCTTCCAGTACAGAATGCCCAGCTCTGGCCGTCAGAGAGGAGTGAGAAAACCAAAGGACGCAAGAGACACAGGGGAGACAATGGGGGGACATTGGAAAGAGGTGGTGAAGACACGTCCAGCTTCCAGTACAATGCCCGGGTCTGCGGGAGAGAGAGAGACACGGAAGAGACGCAAGCGAGACATTGAAAAGAGGTGACATTGAAAAGAGGTGACATAGGGGGAGACGCGGGGGAGACCATGGGGAGGCGTTGGAAAGAGGTGTTGAAGACGCCTCCTGCTTCCAGAACAGGATGCCTGGATCTGGCAGTCAGGGACGCGAGAGACGCGAGAGACGCGAGAGACGCGAGAGACGCGAGAGACGCGAGAGACGCGAGAGACGCGAGACATTGGGGAGGGAAATGGTCGAGTGTTGGAGCAGCCGGATTGCGGACGCAACAAGTTCGAGAAGCAAGGAAGCGAAGTAGGAGGCAGCAGGAAGCAAAGAAGGAGCACCAGCGAGCGTCTCGAGGGGGCACGGCTGGTTGGGGTCGAGCCGGTGAGGAAGGCGCTGGTCGTCGTCCTTGTCGTCCATGTACCACGCCTGGGGGCACGACGAGGGGGGACGAGGGCACGAGGGCACGAGGGCACGAGGGCACGAGGGCACGAGGGCACGAGGAGGCAAGCATGGTAAACGCCTTAAAGTTGACGTGGTGCGGCAGACGCTGGTCGTCGGCCTTGTACCACTCCTGGGGGCACGAGGGGACGAAAAGGGGCGGGTGAAGCGGAGAACTCCGTTTTAACCTTGAACCTACCCCCGAGTACTGCTGTGCTGGTCGTCGGGCTTGTCGTCCATGCACCACGCCTGCGAGAGGATCGATGTTCGACGGATAAAGCGGGGACCACGTGAATAATAAAAAGTAACGATTTCGCCGATGACTTTCGCGAGGCCGCGAAAGTCATCGGCCTTGTGGCCAATGCACCACGCGTGGCGTGCGAGACGATGCGCAACGGCCATACATCGGAAATGACGTGGAAAAGCGGTAAGCATTTTCTTTCTTTCTCCACTTCTTTTTTGAGGATGCAAGGATTTCATCACTGCCGCGAGGGGTGGAATCAACCAAGATGCGGCTGAAAGCCATGGCTTACGTTTGGCGCCATTGTCGGCGATGCGAAAGGCTCTCGAGTCTCGACTAAGGCGTAGCAGGCGCAGCAGGAGCGACTCGAAAGCGGTGCTGTAGAAGAGGCGTGTCTTGCTACTGAACTGAGAGGGCCTGATAGGTAGGCTGCTATTCTGGTCAGGGTAAGAGTGTGCTTCCTTACCAGATTCTAGATGTTCCGTTCTTACTCCCCGCCAGCACCGCTCTCAAACCATTCCAACCTAGCAAAAATGATGCATCCATCCATCAGGGAGCACAGATATTGACAACGGCAGTGTATACTCGCTTGGGGGTACAGGCAGATTCAATGAACCGTTCGTGTGCCCTGGCCAAACCGTGGCCCTACACCCTCCCACACAAGGTAGGTCCGGTCAATCCTGAAATCGCGATAACAGCAATTTGTACATCTTGCATATCACCCAATTTAATCAAATTGCCTTTATCAAAGAATCAACAAATTTGTTTGTCTTTTTGTGTTTGTTGCACTGCTATTTGAATATTTGATCCTAGTGAATCTTTTTTGGCATCTGGATAATCAGTTTGTACAACAAATGCATCATGTTTTGAAGAAATGTTTCGGGATGGGGCATGAATCATGGTATTCATATGGTTCCACGTGGTGCAGAATTTTGATACTGCAGTAACGCAATACGGCGTAGCTTGGTTCGTCGCGAATACGATGCAAGTTCAAGTTATTGGGCTGAGTGAAGCCTGATTTCCCAAAAAAAAAAAAAAAAAAAAAAAAAAAAAAAAAAAAAAAAAAAAAAAAAAAACTCATGGATCGCAACTTGTGGTACCATAATTACCCGGATATAGGCGCGTATGTGCTTATAGGGATTAGGTTCAAAAAGCAGAATGCGCTTGTAATCGAATACAAATATAAGACCATGCGCTAATTCAAAGGACTAAATGGAAAATTAATTTGTGTTGTGATATGTAAGCACAAATTGATACTTAGCATTTCTGTAAGTCGATTAGTTGTAGATAGTGTCGAATCTTACTGTAGAACGTAAGTCCGTAGGATGACGTCAGCAAATAGCGCTCGTCATAGGACATTCATTTCAGTCACACGAACAGTCGCACCTCTTCAATATCGTTTAGAGCGCATAGCGCGATAGTGACGAACAGGTACATTAGCGAATAGGTATTTTTCGTAGAACTATAAATCCTTGTTTGGTCTTTTCATTATTAACTTTGATTACTCACAAGTTCACGTACTCATGTTATTCAACCTTGACCTTTATATTTTACAAGACTTCCGCTGTCTTACTAGTCTACCATTCCAGCAAAGATCCTGGACCAACACTTGAGGATTTGCCAAGTGTTCTTGTTTATAGTTTTATACTTCATCTACTACAACACCTGTCGAATTATTTCATGGTATGAGAGCTATATGGAATTAAGACTACTGTCAACTATGACTGGTTCATCACCAGCAGCATCTGCTGGATCAGTTACTGGGACTACTGGAGCACATGCCTCCACTACAGCCGCTGGTCTCTCAGCCTCTGGGCACTTTCCATCAGCCTACGCTAATATCGGTATGCAACAGCAGAATCCGCCTTCTGTGAATACTCCAGGTGCTCCATCGACTGCACCTGCAACGCAACAGCAACAATCACAAACGCCAACAGAGCAACAAGCATCAGTACAGCCACCAGTTACAATGCAATCGATTTCATCTGCGTTCAGTGGAATGAGCCTTGACGGCTCAAGTTACATGCGTGGAGCTACAGCTCCAAGTACTGGTTCGTTCGCTTTCTCACCTTTCGTACAGCAGCCGCAGTCGCAGCAGTTTCAGCATCCTTTATATATTTTCGGTCGTTCTCTTGCTCAGCAACCACAGCAAGTACAGCAACAGCAACAGCAACATCAACAGCAATAGCAACATCAACAGCAACAGCAACAACAGCAACAGCAACAACAGCCAGGCATTGTTTTTCAGCCACCAAATTTACTCAACAATACTCAGATCAAGACAACCGTACATTTTAATGGTGTTGACTTCTACTCCTGGAGCTTTGAGTTTGAGCTTCTAGCGCAGTCCGCTGGGCTATGGCCGTTCTTCACCAGCGAGTTTACGTATCCTGTCGTGGGAACACAACTGGAGCAGCAAAGTTTCTTGCACGCCTCTCTCGGGGCGTATATAGTTCTTGTACGGAACTTGTCGCCGAAGGAGCAACTCGGCGTTTGATCATTTCACTCAAGTTTCACACCAGCCGAAACGGCATGGAACCATCTGAAAGGGGTATACATGGCAAAGGATACGATAACAACGAGTAAAATACTTTCGCAGCTGACAAGTGTGCAGATGATGACAAATGAAAACGTCATGGACTACGTTAACCGCGTCCGTACATTACGTGACCAACTGGAGAAGAGCGGAGGATACTTCCCTCGTGAGATGTATCTCACTGTCCTTCTTGCTGGTCTTGGATCCAAATGGCGACAGACGCGCGCCTTCCTGCGCATGAATCCCAATCTCTCCGAAGCTGAAATTTCTTCCTATCTTCAAGCAGAGCAGCAAGATATTGACCTGCAGTCACAACGCAACCAGAAAAGGGGGGTTCATTTAAGTTTTTACTCCAATCCAGAAACACAGCATCGACATCCACCAAAGTATCCGTTCTGCCATTTCTGTAAAAAACCAGGACATACATACCAAAATTGTCGCAGCCGTCATCAAGCTCGTCGCAGCACTTCGCAGCCGTATCACCGATCGCAGCAGTTACCAAAGATACAACAGCCATAGCAACATTTAACGTCTCAGCAGTAGCAGATGCCGAAACCGTCGCAGAATTCATCAACGTCGCAGCATCGCCCGCCGGTCTTCGCATCTGCCACATTAGGAAAAGGAGTTTTCGGATGTGTTACAACAGTTGATATTTCAGAAACAGATTTCGAGACACGACTTGAAGAAACCACAAGTGTTGAAGGCATTCCTTTACCTCAAGTTTACGCTAACCTCGCTCGTATAATTTCAGGTCCAAATACCTGGTATCTCGACAGTTGCTGCGGATGGCACATGTGCTCAGCAGAAACAAGCTTCATTACCAATGAGCGTCCACTTCGTTGTCCGATACCTGTCACAGTCGCAAACGGACAAACGATAATGGCACGATCAGTTGGCAGTGTCATGCTCGAATGTATCGACACGGGATACTCACTTCATGTTACGAATGTTCTTATCGTCGCCGGTCTTGGCTTCAATCTTCTTTCCACGTCTCAGCTCCTGGCACACAGAATCCGCACACAAGGAAATTGTGAGACGATGGATCAAGAGCTCTGGCACAGTACAACTAATACCTACCTTGGTCGTGCCGCCACTCAACATGGCGTGTCGGTACTTCAGTTCGCAGCACAAGGAACTTCTGGTGATTTTGAACGCGTCCTTGCACTTGGTCCCTGGGATCACCCCGAAGAAACAGATGATCAAAACGTGGATATTGACTTTCGAGCAACTTCAGTACCAACAACTTCTCGAACAGCAGCCGCCGTACTTATCGCGTTGGATACCTGGGAGTTCAATACCGCCGATGAAAGCGCCACCGCGTGGCGAACGTTTTATAACACCCGTGCAGCCTTCCAAGGAACTCCAGCACCACTTTGGGGAGAGATAAGTGGTCTTGCAGCTGATGAACCTGACGTTGTTGAAGAAGTCGAACAGGAAACAGTAGCTGAGGAGCCGAGTCCAACCGTAGCTGTCGCCGAAATACCTGCCACGACATCAACAGAAGCAGTATCAGGGGTTATACTTGCAACTGCAGCAGCACCAACACATGTCAGGTTACCTCTTAACCGTTTTGTCGAAGGAGAAACTGACAAGTCACCAGCACTTTCTCCTTTCATTCTTTCTTCTTTTTATACTAACTCCGATTTCTACCTGCGATCATCAGGACACAAAGCCACAGAAGACATATGGCATCAGCGGTTAGGACATCCATCACAAGGGATTCTTAATCATTCAATCCGAGCAGCAGTTCTTGATAAAAATAGTTTACTTTTATCTGATGGCATGGAGATGAAGCCGCAGTCTCGTCCGACGGTTTGCACCACTTGTCCAGTTGCCAACCTTACGCACGATCCGTTTCCAAGTCATTTTCCCGGCTCAACCCGTTATCAACTGATGCAGAAAGTCTACAGCGACATACTCAACTTGTCTGAAGCAGGACCTAAAGACGAGAAGTATGTGATAACCTTCATCGAAGCGTCTACATGCCATGTCTGGACAGCTAACTTACCTGCGCGCCATCTCGCTCACTCCGTCTTTGTCGCGTGGCTCGCTGTCGCTAAACGAGAGTCAGGAGTGAAACTGCAAGAATTTCAAAGTGATGGTGCAGGGGAGTACACCAGCAACACCTTCACAGAGTACCTTCAGACACTCGGCATCAAACAGAAGCAGTCACTGCCTCATGCACACCAAGAGATGGGGGTAGCAAAACGGATGAACAGAACTCTGCAAGAGAAGATGCGTGCTCTGCTGACGCAAGCAGCTCTTCCACCGCATTTTTGGCCATATGCGATGGACCACGCTGTGCTGTTACACAGTCTTTTTTCTTCGACATCCCTGCCCGAGTTTTCTTCTCCACACCTGCAGTGGACACGTACACTGGGGAGCACAAAACTTTTACGAGTTTTCGGGTGTGTTGTACAGTTTCGTCCTCCAACCGCAGCACTCGGAAAATTTTCCGAACGAGCAAAATGGGGGGTACATCTCGGCATCGAAAAACAGTATCACGCGTGGAAGATTCTGGATCTCCGGTCCCATCAAATCGTTCCATCACGTGATTGTCTCTTTTTATGAAAGACTCACCTTGCCCGTTTTTCGTGCCCACCAGGCAGCAGCTGCCAATTCTGCCAGGCTGTTTGAAGGCTCGCGTGCGTTTGCAACTGACGAAGTCGAAGCTGATGTACAGGAGGAGGATGTTTCTGAAGCTTCCGAAGCTGCCGCAACAGACGTTCCCGAGCCTGTCACCTCGACCGGCATACCTGAATTCATTCCTCTTGCAGATGCTGACCAGGATGATGTTCGCGAAGTTCATCTCAGTTACGAACGCGACCGCCAGCAACAGCCGATGCCCGTCGTCTCTGACGAAGCAGTTTGTGTTACACCTGACGAAATTGGGGGGGAAGAAGGACCAGAAGAAA